GAACCCATATAGAGGTTGCCTATGTGGGTACTACCTTGGGCCTGTGTAGGCACCCTATATGGGATTAATTGTATTTGCCCATGTCTAACCCATTTGTTAAACCCATATGGGCCCAATTTGTGTAGCCCATTTAGAGCCCATGCACTCATTTCCCATTTGTGACCCAACTAGGACCCACATAGGGAGCCCATCTGTTTTTGCCAATGTGGGACCTACGTAGCTGACCCAAGTGGGCCCCAGATAAGATGCCCATTTTGGGACCATGCCCACTTGGTACCCATGTAGACCCAGCATAAACCATGTGGGGCCCACATATACATGTTGGCTGGGGTCACCCGGTTGAAACTGCGCATTTTTTTAATTATAATACCTAGCTTGTTTGGCTTGGCTCATCCTCATCCTTTTTTTCACCTCCTCTACCATAATGTTCTGTCGTTCCACCAGGGAATACACAGCTTGATCAGGTGAAGGTGGTCGGTGGATTAGGCGTTCCAGAGGTCCCAGCACTTGCCTACCCAGCATGATCTCATCCAGGGTCTTCCCCGTGCTTTCCAGCTGGGCGGTGTTGATGGCATAGCGGAATTCTGGTAGCCACTGGTCCCAGGTTTGATGTTGTTGTCCCACATATGCAGCAATCATTGTTTTTACAGTCCGGTTGATTATTTCTGTTAAGTTTGCTTGTGGGTGATAGCTTGTTGTTAGTCTCTGAACACAACCCCATGTCTAGCACAGATCGCCCAGAATGCTGGAGGTGAACTGGGGACCCCGGTCAGACACCAGGAACTTAGAGACTCCCCAGCGAGTAAAAATCTCCTCCCTGATGATTTTCACTATTTTTAGGATCTTGGCATCCCGAAGTGGAAGCATCTCCACCCACTTCGTGAAATAGTCCACAATAACGAGGAGGTAAGTGTTCTGTTTCTTACTGGTGGGGAATGAACCCATTAGATCAATCCCTAGCGTGTGTCCCGGCTCAGTGATCTGGGAACTTTGTAAAAGTCCAGATGGTTTTGTATTACTGGGTTTGTATTTCTGACATACTTCACAGCTTTTTATGTACTGCCAAACATCCCTCCTAACGGACGGCCACCATGCCATCTCCAGGATTTTCAGCAGGGTTTTTAGCTGTCCAAGATGGCCTCCTAGGGGATTATCATGGTAATAGTGCATGAAGTCAGCTCTCAGTGTCTGTGGTACCACCAGCTGATATTTTTCTTTGCGGTACCACACACCTTGGTGGTCTTCTAAGGTGATGGGCTGTTCTTTGGCTGAGCGAGGTTGGTCGCTAGACTGCAGGTGAGTGATGGTATGATCCACACCTTGAGCTTTAGCAATTTCTTCCAATGAATGTGGTAAGGTAGACGAGTGATGAGATGTTATGGAAAGACATGGGACGGCATGACTAGAAGGTGGCTTGCATATCCTGGACAAGGCATCTGGCCCCATGTTGAGGCAGCTTTTCCTGTGATAAACCTGAAAAAAGTTGAATTGTTGCAGCCGGAGAGTCCAGCGTGTGAGGCGTGAGGAGGTTTTGGGGCAGTTGAAGGCCCAGGCGAGTGCAGCATGATTCGTAAAGACATCAAACGGCCTCCCCTCCAGGTAATGCCTCTACTCTTCAACAGCCCAAACCACAGCTAGACATTCCTTTTCAGACGTACTATAATTTCTTTCTGCACCTGTTAAAGTTTGTGAGGCGTATGCCACCACCTTTTCTCCTTCCACAGCATGTTGAATGAGGATAGCACCCAGTCCTAGATCACTTGCGTCCGTATGCACTTGGAAGTTTTTGTTGAGGTCTGGTTGGATGAGTACAGGTGAGTTTTGTAATGCTTGTTTAAGTGCATTAATGCTATCTTGACATTCTGGAGTCCATTCCCACTTAACTCCTTTCTTTTTGAGGTGGTTCAATGGAGCAGTGATGGCAGCGAAGTGGGAAAGTAATTTATGGTACCACCCGGCCAAGCCCAGGAATCGTTGCAGAGCTCGGAGATTTTGCGGAGGAGGGAACTCAGCCACGGCCTTGGTCTTCTTGTGGTCAATCTCCACCCCCCTCTCGGAGACTATATGGCTGAGGAACTTGAGCTGTTGCTTGAAGAAGTGGCATTTCTTCATGTTCAGCGTCAGGTTGGCTTGGGTGAGATTGTGGAGAACAGTATTAAGGTCTTGGATGTGTTGATCTAATGTTTTTGAATAGATGATAATGTCGTTGATGTAGACGAAACATATTTTCCCCCTCAAGTCTGCCAGAACTCTCTCCATCAAACGCTGGAAGGTGGCTGCAGAGTTTCTGAGCCCATATGGCATAGACTTGAACTGAAATAGCCCTTTGGTGATGTGTTGATCTAATGTTTTTGAATAGATGATAATGTCGTTGATGTAGACAAAACATATTTTCCCCCTCAAGTCTGCCAGAACTCTCTCCATCAAATGCTGGAAGGTGGCTGCAGAGTTTCTGAGCCCATATGGCATAGACTTGAACTGAAATAGCCCTTTGGTGGTAATAAAAGCGGTCTTCTCTTTACTCGCCTCCCCCATCTCCACCTGCCAGTATCCGGACCGCAGATCCAATGCACTGAACCAGGAGGCGCCTTCCAGGGATTCTAGGATGTCATAAATCAGAGGCATTGGGTACAGTCATACTGTTTAACCTTCTGTAATCCCCGTAGAACCTGAACGATCCATCAGGTTTGGGGACCAGGACCACGGGTGACGACCATGGCGAGAAGGAGGGCTCGATGATGTTGTCCTGGATCATCTGGTCAACTTGTTCCTCGATGATCTGTTTTTTGAGGGGTGAAACTCTATATGCCCGGGATTTGATAGGTAAATCATCAGTCAAAGTAATCTTGTGTTGTACTACTGATGTTTTTCCCAGGATGTTCGAAGTGGTGCGTGGCCAATTGGAGATCAACTGCCTCAATTCTTCCTGATTGTCAGAGTCCCATTGTGTAGTCTCTGGGGTGAAGGACATGAGTTCGGGAAGTCTGCCAGTTGTTGGTATGACGTGGTATAAATTCAACTTGGCATCTGTGAGGAAACGAGCTTGACTCAAGGGTGTAGACAGACTTGCTGGCACCTGTGCAGACAGGAAATGGTAATATGTATAGTCTTTTCCAGATCTTAAGCCATATCTGCTTTGTCCCACTTCCAACACAGCTCCAGTGGCATTCAGGAAGTCCAACCCAGCATAAGGGGAAAGGCAAGGTGATTGTCTTTCATGATATATGTATCCAGCAAGCACTCTTGATCATGCCAGGGATACAGAAACTTTTGCAGGTCTCTGGATTTGTGAATTGCTCCATCTGCCATTATGAACCTCTGCGGGTCCGAGGTAATGACTGGTGGACTCTTAGTCTTTAGCTGTTTCCACAGGCTCTCCTTCATCAGGGTGTAAGTGCTTCCCGTGTCTAAGACCGCCTTCACCTCCTGTCCATTCACCCTTACAGGAACGACGAGGAGAGATGTGACTGGATGGGGTTGTGCCAGGGTCAATCCGGCCAGGTTTTTGCTGTTTGTACGCTATGCAAGCTTTTTTGTTTTCTCCTTGCCCCCTTGTGTACCAACTTTTTGCCAGTAGTCCTTCGCTCCCATGCAATCCCTTTTCACCATTGAACCAACCTTCACCAGCTGCTCCACGGTGTTCACTGTCCCCCGTAGGTATCCTGCAACCCTCGGGTTGATGTTGTTTAGGATGCGGTTGACCTGCTTTTCTTCAGAGATCTCTGGCTTCCATTTCAGACAGAGAG